ATCCTGGAGAGAGCTGGCTAGCCAGCAGATGTTCAGGGCCCCTCTCTGGAGGCTGTGTCCACTGTGCTGGAGTCTGAGACACAGAGTGTGTGCCTTTGTTTCTGATACTTAACTCTAAGATCCAGAAAAACACTGAATTTCATAGAACATGAGAATCATGAGCATGTTTTCATGGTGACACATGAAAACAACTGTTAAAGTTAGATAGAAAAAGCAAAAAGTGTGAGTGTGTAGATTGGAGAGTTTTCTTAAGTCACTGAGTGAAAAAGTTAAAGTTTAGAGTTTAAAATAGTTTAGAAAGCAGAAGATAAGATGAAGGGTTTAGAATGTTGTTTCTTTTCCTTCTTCTTTCTTCTTCATGTTCTTCTCCTAGAGGTTTTTAGGTAATAGTAGGTGATTGGATAGAAAATGTCACAGTGCAGCACACAGGTGATGGGTCATTGGGTCATTAAGAAAAATAATATATGTGTCTATTGTTGATTGGATAAGAATGAGTATAAAGATAAAAGAATTTAGTTTGGGGCTATTTTGTGCTTTCAAAGCCAAAGTGAGCCACAGGGCCATTCTGTACCATCAGAGCAAAATGAGCCAGGTTGTGGTGAATTGAGTTTGTGCAGCCAGTCTGGAGAGACCTGCCAGGTTTTGTAATGACCTTCTAATAAACATGAGAAACAAGATTCTAACCAGCTCAGGAGTTTTCTTCAAACCTAGAGAACTGAAATAACTGGGACTCCCCATGAGGGAGGATCCCAAAGGAGCTCAGCCCAAAGGGAACTGAGAAATCCCAGAGGGAAGAAAAATACAGAACAAGTACAGCAGAATCGAGAAAGAGAAAAAAGAAATTAAAAAGAATTTTTTAGAAAAAGTCACGCACTGAAATTCAGAAGTTGTCTCAGGCTGATATTTCAGTAATCAAAACTTCTGTCCTTTAAGATATTTTTTGAAATCTTAGCTTTTCTTTGTTTAAAAAAGAAAAAAAGAAAAATTTTGCACTGATTATGTGATAGTTTCCCCCACTCTAGCTCTGGTTCATTCGAGAGGTTTTCATCTGTTTGAGGTTTTTCACTTTCCTGCAAATTGCTTTTTTGAGCCCTTTTATGTTAGGTGGCTTTTCTCTATTTATAGGAATACACCTGTGCTAAAGGGAAAAGAACTTTCCAGCATTTCAAATAAATGTCTAGCAGTCAGCTTGAAGTGCAAAGGTAGAAGATCATCAACGTAAGTGGTATGATTATATGCAAATGAAGTGCAGGTTGTATTTCCAAAGCCTCTCTAACTCGTGTGTGAAGGTGCTGGGCTGTGCCAGGCAGCCAGAGCAGAGGCAGCCACATGGACTGAGCCACACTAACGCTGCATGGCAGGAGGGATTAAGTGTCTCACCACCACTAGGCTCAAACACCTCAACCTCTCTGCACCAGAGGGTGAATTCCACTCTCAGAGAAACAAGCCAGAGTGCTTTTCCCCCTGGGGAGCGAATTGCAGCATCCTCACCTTCTGCAGCATGCAAGGGCCTGAGACCAGGATAAAATTGTTATATTTTAAACATTAAGCATATGCTGATAGCAAGGGCAGATAACCCATGTGCATAGAGGACACAAGCTACAGCTGATTGAATTTCCCCCATTACTGTTCTCCTCAGGTGCCAGATCCAAGGATGGCCAGTTCCCTGTGAGGCAAGGACCACTTCTGCAGGGGAAAAAGTAAGGGAGTTTGCTCAGTTGTCCTTTCCAAAGGAGGACAGACAAAGGGACATTTTCTTCAGCAGCATAAAACAAAGTTCTCTCTCTCTCAAAGGCCTCAAAGGCTGGCTGTCTCACTGAAATAAAAAGTGTTCAGCCAGGACAGATTAGGAGAGATGAGAACAAAATGAGGCTCATAAAGTAACCCACATGTTACTAAGTTGTTATGATATCAATGCTTACAAATGCATACACATGTATTTTACCATATATACACATGGGGAAAGAGGGCACCACACCAAGAAAAAGTCAAGTTCCACTCTGATTCCTCATGAGATGCCTTTTCTTTGCTCATAAAATTAAGAGCCAGACACAGTTAGGGGATAAAGGGTTTTTATCTTGCTATTTAATAAGGATTCTTATGGTGCAACAATTTGCCAAGGTGGAGCTCGCTGAAATGCACACACTCAATAGATAGTGAACACAATTTTACAGACCTTACAAATTAGCATATTTAACAGAGATACCTTAATGAGAGGCTTGAATGGATAGTGTGATATTCCTCCATCTCAAGGTATTCTTCCCTGGATGGGCCTAATTCTGGTTCACAGGATGTATTTTAGGGGGGACCTTGTTTCTCAAGGCTTCCCAGCCTCCAAGTGTGAGGCCTTTAGGATGTTTGGTCTCCTGGCCTAACAGAATATTAGGTTTATGTTATCAGCCTGCAGGAATTACAGGTATGCATGCTACAAAGCACTGAGAATACATAAAAGGTCTGTCAAAGGGAAGGCAAAAAATCTCCACGGCATCACTTGGATGTGAAGTACCCAAAGATGGCACTGTGGAGCAGCAGTTCCCTGCCAGCACCACTCAAAACTGAATTAGATGTGAGGAGCCCTCTCAGCATTTTCTGCACTCTTTTCCCCTCTTTCTCAGCCACACTCAATGCATTTCCATGACGAGTCACTCAGTGGTTCAAACTGGGACTTTGGTGGGACCTGTCTGGACATTTCTGGCAGCAGCAGAGATGTTGACAGCAGTTCCTGTAGCCTCAGGTCTCAGTGGCAGCCTGGGGGACACAGGCTGGGGCCATGGACACACCCTGGCAGAACACTGGGCTGTGATGGAGGAATGGCAGAAACCACACAGAAAACCAAACCAGCCAGCCAGGAGAGCTGTGGTGAGTGCCATCACCCAGGAGAGACAAAACCAGCCTGAGAAACCTCAGCTGGAGCTCAAACAGCCTCGTCCCTGGGACAGGAACCGTTCTGGCCTTGCTGTGAGCCACCAGGACTGCTCCTGCATCCCTGCAGTGCCTTGAGACCTGCTTTGAGAGGTGCCTTATTGGTGCACTGCTCTTAAAATGTGAGCCAAAATGGGAAAGGCACATGAGTGCAAGGATGATGTGCATAAATGAAACAGGGCACAGCTCAGGTCTGGAAAATGTTCCTTTTAAGCAAATCCATGATCTTCATTTGATGCTTATCCATTGCAGTTACAGGCTTGAGTGAGTGGGGCTTTCTTTCCAGAAAAGACAGTCCCTACCCTGAGGAGGAGTGGATGAGGAAAAGCTGAAGGAAACGGAAAAAATGTACTTTCTGCACAGGTCAGCTCCTTTTCAAAGCAATCCATTCAACAGAAGTGAGTCTTTCAGAAAGTTGTAGCATGGAGAGTGCAGAGAGGCTGCAGATGTGGCAGCCCCCACGCCTGGTGCCAGGCTGGCTGTGGGGAGTACAGGAATGACTGTACAGGACACAAGGGTGCCCTGCAGCTGCTGCTCCTTTCGTGCCCTGGCATCTCTCTGTGCCAGCCTGCAGGGATGCCTGGGCACCTGTACTGATGGCCATTGCCCAGGCAGTACATGGTGCAATGAAAATGCAATGGAAATCATTTCCATTCTGTGTTCCATTACCTAGCACACTGCAAAGGCTGAGAAGAAACTGTTTTCTATGGGAAAAAAAATCTAGATAATATCACTTATCAGAGTTTATATGGTGAAAATGGGTTAGCATCACACAACTCTGATCTGATCTCTGCCTGTGTCAGGAGAAAGAGTAATGTGCAATAACCACACACTGGCACTGGAGTGGTGAGGCAGGGCAGATTAATGTCCTATTTAACTGCTGCCACAGAAGACTGAGTGCTCAGCAGGCCTGCCAGGAGCTGTGGGCTTCTGCACAGGTGCTGGGTTTGGATCCATACCGCTCTTAACCATTAGTTCCTTCTACTGCTGGTTGTGAAATTAGCAGTGGTTTCACTCAAAGCCTTGGGTTTGTGTGCACCTCCTGCTTCCCCTGGCAGCACCACGGCTCAGTGAGCGTGGCACCTTCAGCAGCAGCAGCCCAGCTCTGCTGAGCAGCCACACAGCTCCCTGAGCTGGCACAGGGGACACTCTGCAGAGCTCCTGGCTGCAGGAAGCTCTGTGTCCATTCCTACACACTTCACTAAGGATGAACTTGCAGCCTGACTGGCTGCTCCTTCCTACAAAGAGCCAAGAGAAATGCCCAGCCTTTTGCTAAGCCCCCCAGCCCCTTGGGGCACACCCCAGCTGTTCTGTCCCTGCCTAGAGGAAGGCACTGGCTTGAGGCACACGTCCTCACTGGCACCTGGCTGGCACTGGCCATGTCAACTCACGTTTTTGCCTCTGAAAGACCGAACTAAACTGTGGAAAATGAGTTTTTCAGCTGTGGACTGTGGGTATCTGAAGTTACTGAGGAGATGGCACCCTGCATGCCTGGTGCTCTGATGGTGAACTTCTGAGTCAGACACAGCTGAAGATATTCTGGACTTTAAAGTGTTACTCCCATGATTTTGCTCACTCAACCATGTAAGTGTGAGACTGGCCAGTTCCTCTCATCACACAACCCTGGCAAGCCTTTGTAAGGTTTTTCAAACGTGGAAATAAACCTACCCTCACAGCTGGCCATCTCTACAAAACCTGTACCTTTTGTTCCACCTGGGCTGCCTTGAAGTCTTTGCCTCATCTCCAAGAGGCTGAGTGTGGCTGTTCCTTATAAAATACAGCAGTTCCCACGTTCTCTGGTTCAAGATTTGCAGTCTCCTGAGCTCAAAGAAACTGGTTCCATGAGAAAAAACCCAACCCCTGAGCTATTCAAAGCTGCCAGCTGCACACTTAGGAGAGCTCAGTGTTTGTTAGGCTTTGGCTGTTGTGAAGATGAGGAAGAGAGCACTGAGCAACCCAAAGAGCGTTGGTCTGAAGTGGAAAGTTTCCAGGTAAACAAAACACAGTGCTCCAACCCAAGTGCAAACAGCAATTTTTAAGCCACCAATGAAAATTAAGCTTATTGTTTTAAGCTTGTTCTTTTATTTACTTGTTCCTTAGACAGACACAGTACATCTCCAGAGCACCACAGTACATCTCCAGGTAGGTGAGAGCATCACAAGCTCTTGGCACAGTTTTCTTTTCCAGGGTTTTTCTGCTGGAGTTAGATTAATTCTCCAGGATCTCCCCTCTTAAAAGAAGGCAGCAAATCCCTTTTGGAGAAGCAAGCTGTGGTATCTTGCTCAGAACAAGACTTGTTGCCTTAACTCACTATGGCCATCCAGTCTTTGAAACCTTCAAGAACACACAAAAATATCAGAAACCATCGACAACACAGCATAAAAGACACCTCAGGGTCAGGTGTCCAAGTTCACCAGCTTTCTAATTCCTCACTGCATGCAGCACTCTTCACAAGGACAAGGACAGTTTGTTACTCACCTCCTAGTTCTCTGCTGAGCAATGTCTTTTCCTGACTCGTTTTACTCTGGATGATTAAGTTCTGTTATCTGAGATGATATTTTACAGCTTTCTGGGAGAACAAATCACACATTCATTCAGAATGGCTCAGAAACACATTGGACCCTTTCCTTGAATTTTGATTTATTTGCATTTGAGCATCCTAATTCTACATCTGAGGCCCAACTCATTCCATTCTGGCCAATAAGTACAAGCAAACACATAATTTAGACATTTGTGAAAGCTGGACCTCAAAGTGCTACCATATCTTTTCCACTTAAAAAGAGCAGAATTCATGCTGGTGTAAAGCAAATGAATGTGGTTTTGCACTGTATGAACATGTTTCCTCTGAAAGAGATTTTGATTCCTTGAAAACAGCAAATACTGGTGCCTGACTTAGTAAGAACAGCACTTATGGCAACAAGAGGATAAAAAGTAGGGAAAGTTCAGCAAACTTCAAGAAACAAAGAAAAAAAAATCCTACTCACCTTTTCCACAAACATGAAAATTCTGGTCATACATTTCCTTTCAGTTGTGTTGGGGTCAGAGATGCAAGATACCTTTATCTGTGGTGCCTGGCTCTGACACCCAAGAGAACACTGAATTTCACATAACGCCATGGAGACAGCCCTTAAAGTAGAGAAATTGGGAATGTGAGAGGGTAAATTACATAGAGTGTTCTTAAGTCACTGGGTGAGAAAGTTAAAGGTTTAAGCTGTTTTAGAAAACAAGAGACAAAATGGAGGACTTAGGGCCTTGTCCCTTTCTCCTTCTTCTTCTTTCTCCATCTTCTTCTCCTAAGAGTTTTTGGGTAGTAATGAGTGATTGGATAGAAGATGCCCCAGTGCAGCACACAGGTGTGGGGTCATTGGGTCACTAAGAAAAATAATTTACTTGGCATTTGTTAATTGGGTAAATGGACATATAAAAGACCTTGAAGAAGTTGTTAGCCATTTTGCACCTCTCCATCTTAGTGTTTGTGTCTCCTTGTACCCTGTATATATGTAATATAGGTAAGAGAAGAATAAACAACCAAGTCTGAACACAAAAGAACTATCTCATCATTTCAGTCCTGAGGAAAAGAACCCAGCCACCAGTGCGGCATCCCAACAAGCTGGATTTTGGTTCCTCCAGCCACTATTCATTTGCTAACTGGAACACAATACTGGAAAACCGATAAAGTTGTGTCATGGAGTTACTTTACCTTTAAGGGAGTTGGAGTTGCTGGGAACTGCCTGGAGTCTTTTCTCCTGACCAATTATCGGTCATTGCTGGGAATTGACAGCAGTTTAGGCCATTGAAAAGTGGGATCAACTTGTGAACCCTACCTTAAAGTGTAAAAGCAGAGCTCTCTGGGTTCTCTTTGTTTTCTGGCTGTAGAGGGTGGCGGAGCTCCAGGCCTCCCGTTCCCTGCCCAGGCCATGCGGCCGGGCGGGGATGGGGCCGGGCCTGCCCCGTCTCCCGGCCGGGAGATGGGGGGGCCTGGGGAAGGTTTTCTTCGGGCCCGGGCCGGGCCGAGCCGATCTCTGGCTCGGCTGCAGGTTTTGCTGTAACTACATTCACTAGAAACTGCCCAGTGAAGGAAGAGAGAAGCTCTGGACCTGCAGCGGGTTGGAGCAGCGACCACACGCTCCAGAGCAGCTATGAGGAACCTTCCATCGCAGACGGCTCCAGCTCCTGTTCGGCAGAGATCCCCAAACCATCTACAAAAGCCTGGGCAAGATTTTAACTCCTTCATTACCCAGATGAGACTTGCGGATTAATCTTTTAATCCAGAGAGAGAGAGAGAGAGTGATCAACATGAAAAGAGACTTTATAAACTACCAGTGACAAGAAAGAAAAGAAGCTTCAGGAAAGGTAGAGAATTAAGAAGATGCTTTAATTAAGCTGAAATATCTTTCTGTTAAAACTATGGAGATGGACAATGAAGTCCTGAAAAGAACTCCTTTAATTCATGATACAGGATCTAGAGAGGAATAAAGTGTTCAAAGTGTAAATTTTGAGTAAAAAGTAGAGTAATTATGGTATAGTGAAGTGCTGGGAGATTTGAAGCCTTGAGAGGCAATGAGAAAACTCTTGGGAGATTTGAAGCCTTGAGAGGCAATGAGAAAACTGTTTTCTAGTGGAGCTCACAGAAACAGATGAAGAAGACTTTTTTGCCTTTGAACAACTTATCCTTAAAAATGCTATCTCTAGACTCATGGCCCATACACACTTCAGAGTAATGTGAAAATGGGAGGAGTGAACTCTAATAATAGCAGCTCTGGGCAGCGAACATTAGGGCAATGGAAAACTATAACAAAAATAGTTTTCTTGTGAGAAACTCCATAAATTAACAGGAAGAAACTTCTGTTTCTCTACAAAGACTGGTGAAAAGACTGTAGCAAGAATTGGGACTGTTTTAACCATCAAAGTTCCAAAGTTTTTGTCTCTGTTGTCATGTGAACAAGGGAATAGTGGGTAGATAGGGGATGGAAAGGTTTTTCTGGAAGTTTATTCTGGTGTTCTTATTATTGTGGTTTGTCAATAAACTTTCTTTTTTTTTTTTTTCCTTTCAAGTTTTATGCCTGTTTTGCTCTTGTTCTAATCCATATCTCACAGCAAGAAATAAGTAATTTTCTTAGTTATTAGTTTAAAACCACGACAAGTTGTTACGATTCCTAGGTAGCACAAAAAATATACACTCAGAGCATTTTAGTGGTTAATTTTAAAAAACCTAAAGGCCTTCTCCTTCCCATTGAAAACCTCAGAGCCCTGCAGCCACCTGGATCCCCAAAATACAGCGTTTATCAAGCAGCAGTGCTGGGTGATAAAGGCACAGGAGCACAAAGGACTCTCTGAAATAATTCCTGTTGAGCATATTCATGTAAAGCACCTGAGAAACTTCCAAAGCAACCACCAAGGACAGGGGGAAACAAGCCCTGATTTCTCAGCCAGCCTGGGACTGAGTCATTCAGAACTTGCCCTCATTAAATATGCTCTATAGCATCTATCTGCAGATGGAGGCTGTCCCCATTTAAGCCAAAAAGATGATTTATGTGCACACCAACAAATTGCTTGCTCACCTGTGAGTGGTGAACCCACATGTGTAACAAAAAAAACCCAATTCCCAGCTTAGCAAACATGCAGCTGATGTATATAGAAATGCTGATTTTTTATTTTTTTTTGTCTAGGTCTGAGGTATCAAGTGACACTAAGGGAAGTTCACAGAGCCACAAGGCAGCACAAAATACTAAAATTCATTTTTAAGCTGAGTCTAGAGGATTCCTGTGGCAGGGAGATCAAAGCAACCCCATTTTGGCTGCAACAATGGCACAGGAAAATTTCTTCGAAAGCCACTTGGAATTGTAGGATGTTTGCTCTCTGCTAATATTTATTTGCACTCTTAGGTTTCTTTCTGTGACTCCAGATTTATTTCAGCCTGTTGCTGAGTTGGAGGTAGACCACAGCTCTGAGAAGACAGAAGTTGCAAAGCCCTTGAAACCTCCCAATTCCAAAATGTGTTTCCCAAATGCTGTAATCACATTGCCCTCATTTCCTCTGACACACAATTTTCTGAGGAAGTTTATCTAAACTTTGTTTTGGGTTCTGCTTTTATTTTTCTTTTCTCAAATCCCATTTTTAAATGAGACAGGAAGAAAATTGCAGGTTTTTTCTTCTCCTACTCCTGTGGTACGAATGCTGATACTCCTTTTTTCTCCAGAAAGATGAAATTACCTCAAAAGCCAGGTTGCAATTTGAAAACTGTCACTTAGAGCTGGGTGTATTGCTGTGTTTCTCTGCAAAGGGTTGCAGAGTTTCACACTTCAGCCAGAGAGGTTCTAGAAAGCCTTGGAAGCTCATCTCAGGAAAAGCTTGTTTTGGCTGCTCACAGGGTTTGCTGCTCCATGCACCTCAGTCCTCTCACGGATAAAGGTTTGTTCCAGCTTGCAGTTATGAATCACACACCTGAAGTGGCTGAAACTGGCACATTTCCCTTAAATAGCTCACCAGCTGTGAGCGTGGAAGTAGCTGAACCTCCGAGTGCTTCACTGCTCATCTCCAGTATGCAAATGCAGCAGGAACTGGGGGAAGAAACCCTATTTTTATTATAACCTCCTCTACAACTTTCCACTTCCCAGCTCCTTCCCAGCTCAAGGAATAATTGGAAATTTGGAGGTAGCCACCACAAGCTCACAGAAGCTCCCACCTGCGTTCAGCAGGTAAAGGCCAGGCTGAACCCCCTGACTTCAGAGAGGAGTTGCTCCCCACCCTATTGTGACTACTGACTGGAAACAGCTGAGGATTCGAATCTTTACACTTTTTCCACCTTCACTTGCCTATGTAAGTAGGCACAGAGTTTATTCTGAGACAGGAAAAAAAAAAAAAGAAAAAAAAAAAAAAGAGAAGAAAAGAAGGATGTGGTTGGTTATGCCACTTAGAAAACTCGTAAAGCACAGTCTCTAAGAAAATGCTTTCATGCTCTGTAGATGAACCTGGACTGAAGCAATGCTGCTGATCTGCTTGCTGGGGTTCAGGTAAAGTAACTCCTAATTTTAGTTGTTGACTTCTATTTTTGCAACAATTTAATAGCAGCATTGATTGTAGACACTGTTTTTAAGCTGGTTAAATGATTGTTCAAACAATAATAGCGCTGTTTAGTTTAGAGCAGAAAGAAATAATTCTGCTTTAGTGATAAATATAAAACTATTCTGCTGATATCAAAGTACTTAGATAAAACATGGTAAGAAATGATCCAGTTACAGATGAAATACATGGCAGGAGTGGGACCTGCTGCTCATCACTGCACTGAGCTCCAGTACATCCCCAAGAGAATAACTTAACCTCTAAGATGAATAATGTTCTAAGAAATAGATATAAACAAAGGATGATTTTGCTAATGAAGCTCTCATGGATGTTACCTTAGTGTAACATCTCTGTCTGTGCTCTCATACAGATTTGTGTGAATCCCAGCTAGAGCCAGATGAACTCGGAGCCGAGCTGCAAAGAGAAAACCATTCATGAATTCTGCTGTACTGCAAAAAAAGCCTAGTGGAGCTATTACTGTAAAACCTGTTCATTTCCTAGGTCAGAATACCTTTGCTGCTCACTAAGCCACAAGCTCCTGCTATGGGAAAACCCAATTAATGTTTAATGAGTTCAAAGGAAGTAGAAAACCCTCAGCAGGAGAAGCTGAGAGCAAATGGAGCAGCATTGACACAGAGGCTGGAGCAGCTGAGACACTCTCTTCTGTACTGTTAATTACAGGTTCTTATATTATCTTTTGGTCTCTAGGAGTTGTCTGAAACAATCCTAAAGCCACAGGAGATTCCTTCAAAAAAACTGTTGAGGACAGAGAAAATTTCCTCAGAAGACTGGAAAAGAGCAAACGTGGTACCTCTCTCAGGAACGTGGAAAAGAAGGAGTTGGAAAAACTAGATCTGTGATCCTGGTTTTAGCATTTGAGAGAAATACTGGAATCAGCCACCAAAGAATCTGTTTTCAAGCGGTAAGTAAAAATCTGCAGAGATTAATCTGAGTATGACTGAAATAGAAGCAATTTGACTTCCTCTGTGACCCTGCCAGCAAAGGGGGTGTAGGAGGGGGAAACAGGCTTCACACACTACCTCTAAAGAGATTCTCATAAGCAAAGGAAACATGAGCAGTATGAAACCTCTGCATGATGAGTGAGTACCCACCGAGATTCTAATCAGTGCCTGCTCCGTAGGAAAGATGTCTCTGGTACACTTCAGTATCTTTCAGGATGAGTATCATCAGTATTTTTACTAATAATATGGACAATGCAGTAAAGAGGATGCTTATGAAATGACTGCAAGGTTATTTGTCAATGAAAATGATTCTTCAAGTGAACTCTGAGCAAACATTACTTAGTCTGGAGCAGTTGCAGACAATTCCCATGGATTGCTCAAGATGTGGATTTTAAATTTGCGACTCGAAAATTATAAAAAAACACCATATTTTTGACAATCAGTTTTCAATTTAAAGTTTTTTTTCCCTGAAGTTAATAATTTTCTGGAGCAATTTGGTACCAATGAATTCAAAGGAAAAGACACTCAGTGCGCTAGAGATACAATAAAAGTGGCACCAAGCCTCAGACATTCAAGAGTCATCAAGCACAATTTTCTGATACATTTACTGAGTACACAAAGTGCTGGATTGCCAGGGGCTGTCACTACCCCAAAATGTTTCATGTCACTGCTTTTTTTCCCCATGTAGATGGGTGCCCATGGCCAGAGGACACCCATGCTCACAATAAAACTCGTGTTCCCCTGTCCCTTCCCCTTGGTGACAGCAGCACCTGCCCAGGGTGACCCCTTGGACAGCCAGCGCCAGCTCAGCTCCGCGTTTTCTCTGGGTTTCTCACTTCTCACACACCACAAACACGTGATTTTCTGAGCAGCTGCCACACATTGCCGGCTCAAATGGATTGATTTAACCTCCTCTTGATGACCAAATCAAAGTTTTCACTTTGCTCTCCTTTCTGACAGATACACCCAGCTTTCCTTTTGCTGTTTCCTCAGCTGACAGTGCTGTGACAGCCCGGCTCAGGGGGCTCTGTCCTGGTCTCTGCAGGTGCCAGTGGCACCCAGGGTCATCCTCATTCCTACAGTGGGGTCACACAGCCAAGGACAGTCTTGGAGCTCTGCATCCCCTCAGAAACCCCCATCCTCATCAGCTTTCACAGCCCTTCCTCTAAACCCTGCTTTTTCCTAGTGCTATTCACTTGTTTCTAGTACTCTTTGCTGAAATGCAAGTTCCTGAAATCCTCAGCCTTTCCCTTATATGAAAAGCAGATACTTCATCAAAGATAAGGGTCTGGTAAGAGCTCTCAAAGATTTATTTAGCACTTTTCTTTAAAAATCTGTGTGAAACTTAGGCTCGACTCTTACAGAATTTCTTTAATCACATTTGACACTCTTTCCTTCAACAGATTAGACTGAACCTTTTCCAGCCACACTAATAACATCCATACTTCACAACAATTACTGGGCTGGCCCTTCAGCTTTATATTCCTGTTCTTTGTGTAGTCTGAGCTGGAAAATGACTGATTTAATAAAATGATTTACTGATAGGAGCAGGTTCAGCTCTGAGTGCATTCTGTGGCCAGTTATTCCCATTATCACTCACTGATTCCCACAAGCCATCCCACCTATGACCTCCAGCACAATGTCAGTGTTCCTATGAAGTTAGTTGTATAAAAGTTGGCAAAATGCAATGCTAGTTCCTCAGCTGTTCTCTGTTTCTCTATTTTAAAAATATTTTATTTTATCCAAGCAAAAAAAAATTTAAAAAAAAAAAATCTTTCACTAGTTGGTTTTGGTGTCTTTAGCAAAGTTTGGCTCCATTTGGCAGCACTTAAGAGCTGTCACTTTTCATCCTCCAAAGCAAAGATTCTCCTTTTGATCAAACTCTTCTTAAAACATCTTCACTTACCTCTAAAATTTCTTTTGAGCTGCTTGGTTGGCTGAACTGGCACTGAGAACTTCAACTACCAAGCTCTGCTTTATTAGGACTTTTTGTAGCTTTGATTTAAAGAGGTTATAAAAAGCACTTTTAAGGCATAGTTTGTTAAAGCATATGTATATTTTTAAGAACAGTGATAACATTAAAGACAAATTAATTTTGTTTCAGAACTGCATTATAAAGATGCTTCTACTTGCTAATCTTTGCTGGATTATCTAAAATAATCAGTTAAAATTTAAAGTGCAAAACCCCAAATTTAAACAAGGCTGCAAATTAATCACAAGTGAAAAAACACACTTACTCATTTTGCACCGAGATGAAAGATCAGTCTTCTTAAGTTGACCTTTTAAAATATTGCATTGGATATAAACACTGTATGAAATGAAAATATCATATAAATGTGCTTACAGCAAAAGCACATCAGCAGAAACTACTGGGTTTGGATATAAGAGTAAAAACTCAGCTATCAGATCAACATACCTTAATATGGAATAATAATTTCATCATTGTTGTGTAGCGACAAAACTAAGCATAGATGTTAGGGAAATTTCCAAAGGTGTACAAATTATTAAAGATAGCCAGTAGTCTTTAGAGTTTTTGAAAATATGTGTTTGAAGTCTCTTCAGTATCTGGTTGGGATTATATTACATGGGATGGTCACCAGTGGATGCTGGCTGCTTTCCCCTGAGAGTCCCTGGGAACACACCAAGCCAGTCAAAATGGAAACAGAAAACTCTGTGCTTGAAAGGTTTCACTTTCCATCACAGACAGAGGCTGACCAAGTGTCCAGCTCAAACCCAAAAAAATCTCCAATTGTGTTTGGAAGCATCTTGGTTTGGCTTTATCGTGGCATTAACTGAGAGTCTCACACGTTTCCCACCCGCTTTCTCTGTCATTTCAGGGCAGAAATGACCAACACCAGCGACAACTGCAGTTTTACAGCCGTGGACAGCTTGGCATGGACGGTGCAGCTGGGGATCTCCATCCCCACCTTCATCCTCGGGCTGGTTCTCAACAGCCTGGCCCTGTCTGTGTTCTGCTGCTTTTGGAGGAAGCAGACCAAGACCTCCGTGTACATGATCAATCTGGCGCTGGCAGACGTCCTGCTGCTCCTCTCGCTGCCACCAAAGCTGTACTACTCTGTCACCACGGTGCCTGGCCTGCTCTGCTCCTTCATACAGGCTCCTTACTTCGTCAACACCTACACCAGCATCTTCATCATTGTCTGCATCACCGTGGACAGGTACATCTGCATCAGGCACCCCTTTGAAGGCCGAGCTAACCAGTCCCCCAGGTGGGCTCTCTTGATTTGCGGCTTCATCTGGGCAGTGGCTTGGATCTGCAGCAGCCCCATTTATGTGTTTCACAAGAAGGAACCCATTAAATGCTTTCACAACATGTCAGCCCAGACGTGGAGCGTTCCCTTCATTGTTTCTGTGGAAATATTTGGGTTTCTGATCCCACTGGTGGTGATGGTTTTCTGCTCTGCTCAAACCATCTGGATTCTTCTGAATCACAAAACTCAGGACAAAAAGAGTGTGGAAGAAAGCGGCTCCCTGCGGGTGATCGTGATCAACCTCGTGGTGTTCCTGGTGTGCTTCACACCCGTGCACCTCGGGATCTGCCTGCAGTGCCTGGTGAAGCAGCAGGTGATCGTGGGCTGCACAGTGAGGCAGACCATCAGCCTGTTCCTCCAGGTGTCCATGACGTTTGCCAACCTGAACTGCTGCCTCGATGCCATCTTCTACTATTTTGCTGCAAAGGAATTCTGTAAGAAAGCGCAGCTGAAAAGGGTCATTGAGCTGTGTCCTGTCTTTAACCCCTGTGCCGTGAGCTGGCACTGCCGGCACTGGGAGAGCTCCCCTTGCCAGGACACCGACTGTGCCACGCCTGGCACGGCCACCACCACAGGGAGAAGGACAACGTGTTCCCAGTGAATGTAAACCTCTTCCCTATTTTTCTTCCCTTTAAAGATGAAGGGGAAAAAAGTTTGATTAATGAGCCAGCATTAACAAAGTGACAGACTGACACCAAAAGCATTAGCCTTGACAGTATTTAGAAAATGCGAAAAGCTTGCCAGAGGGAAAGTAAGCAGATCACAGGAATGCTTTTTAACATCAGCTTTTGTCACAGCTGCACCAGTTTTCCTTTTACATCCGTGATCAGAAAGGTGCTGCTAAGAGCAAACACAGAAAAAAACTATTCATAACCTTTCTGACTTAGAAGGTATCTTGGGAGTTAAAAAGCAGTATCCAGCCAGAAGTCTGACCCTGCAGAAGGTCAGTGTTGGAGCTCTCTGCTTTGGACAGCCTGGCCAGCCTGGGACAGCAGGGAATCCTCCCTCCTGCAAGCTTCACACACTGCTCAGGGCTGCTGTGAGGGACAGCAGGTTTTGCTCTTGCATGGAAGACATGCTGCCCAGAATAAAAACCCAGGGGATTACCTCAGGTACCTGCCATTCTTGATCAACAAACTTCCCTGATTCCCTGTGCTGAGGAGTCCCCGTGGCTTTCTCCTGCAGTTTTAAAACGGGTTTTGCCTGTGTAAGTCCAAACAACCCATTCAAATACGAGACTCAGAGAAAGACTGAATGTGTTTCTACATCAGTGCGTTTCTATCAAAGATATAACACATGTATGAAATTCTCACTGTTTCTCAGAGCAGGGGAATTAAGAAAGCAAGCCCTGCATCACAAATCAGGGAGTGATTGATATTCTCCTCTCTCCCAGCTCTCTCCAGCTCATTCCTTAGGGGAGCCCTTCTGCCTGTACTGTGCATTTCTCTGAACATCTCTGGGCTTGCCTGAACCCTTTGGGTCAGCAATTCTGGGTTGTCACCACCCTAATGCCATTTGCAAGTTTGGCTCTGACTCTAATCTAAAGGGTTTTTTTGTTGCAATTTAAGACAAGCATTTCTTGAACCCTTATCTGGGCATGCTTGGTGCTCGTAACCAGAATCGCTTTCACAAAAATAAATCATTTCCTTTGCCTTTCTAAAACAGCTGTGAAAAAAGTCAAAGACTGCTGGGAGTCAGGTTTCTGGGGCAGGTATTCCTTTTATTAAAAATGTAAAAAGAAATTACTTACTCTCTGTGGCAAAATAAAAAGAAAGGGATCTGGTTTTGAAAATACAATTTGCTGTCCAGCAATTTCCATAGAAAAGATTGACTGTACAAGTAGGCAGCAGCACATACCTTACAGTGGGCCAAGTATATGAATATTTTAAAATTGTCAGTACTAAAACTATGAGCACAGCTGAGGGGGAAAATATTTGTAGCATCACCTTTGCTGCTTTCTGTAAAGAAGAGTTTTCCAAAACTGCAGATTTTCTAAACATTATTTGTTACTGCCTCAATCACTCAGAAACTTACAGATTTTCAATAGGGGTTAACCTTTCTTCTTTGCACCTTTCACATTACTTTGCATACAAAATATGTGTGTGAGAAAGAAGTAGTTTTACTAAAGTTTTACTAAATAAACTCTACATATGAAGTGTGCATACTTGAAAATACATTTTAATTGGACAGCAGTATGCAGTTCTCCCCTACCTGCACTAGCTGCCTAAAAATTACTTGGCAGTGGCAACTGTGCCCCACCACACAAGGCTGGGATTATTAAAGTCAGGGTTAATTAAGCTGCAATAATGGGCAGGGGTGGGAGCCACTGCTCTCAAGGCTCAATCTTCCCCTGGCTGCAAACCCAGACTACAAAATCTGGAAGTTAAACTGGACTATTTTCTTCCCATTTATTGCCACCAGTGCCACTTCTTTGTTGGTTTAAAATGTTTTTATGTATCATTTCATTTGTCTAAATTTTGCCTGTTGTATAAGTAAATGAGAGCAGCCTCGCTAAGCGTGCTTGAAATTTGAGAAATGAAATGAAATGCAAATGAAATTAAGAGAAAGAAGGGAGAGAGCCCAGCTGTGATGATTTTACAGGCTGCTACAGTAGTCCTGTTTTTTAGCACAAAAAAAGCACAGGTATTTTGAGCAAGATGGTGTCACTTTCAATTCAGAGCTTTTCAAGATGAACTTACATTCAAATAATACACTTAAGTCCTGCCTTTGAGCAGCAGCTAAGAATACAGTTCTTTTTAAAGCAGGATTTTACACACAGGCTCCTGTGGGAAATCCACTGTTAACTCTGGAGCATCTCCAGTTGGTAGCCTGAGAAGAGACACAGCGATTTTGATGATGAACAAAACTGAAAAGCACTTGACATTTTAAAAACCCAAATCTTCCTGAGCTGATACACAGGTTCAGGGCAAGAGAAGAAGTTTCTTCTCTCTTGATGTCATTTTTAATGCACAGAAAAGTTGTGGGAACCTGAATGTGAACCCCTCACATACTCAGGTCACCTCCCACTGCCTCAGCTGTACTATAAAGTCACAGAAGCATTCTCTTAATGGAAAAAAAAATTTAAAAAATCAAGTGCTAACCAGAAACACTAAAAACAATGCCTTTAAAAATTATATTTTCAGTTCTGCCCTCTTCTGTGAATTGAACAAAGCCACAATCGCACAATGAACCACGGACCTTACAAGGGAGCTGTGTTTAACATTAATTTTTCTGAACACGGCCATTTCAGGCCACAGGTGAGAATTTTCTCAAAACAAAAGTTTTGGTTTTATCCAATTGAACTTTTCCAACTGGGCCAAACCACACAGCTCTTCACAACATAGAAGAGAGCTGATTTTTCCTGAGGGCGTTTTTATCAATGGCAGATTACTCCAACATTCTACAATTAGCATTTGTTCAACCATCAGTGTGATTCACCAAGCTGTGTTTTATAGACTCACAAAATTGAAAGTCAGAAAAGCATAAAAGTAATTTGGAAAAAAAGGGGAAATAAACCCAACTCCCAATTAAAACAAACAAACAAAAACTCCCAGCAGACAAAACCACACAGGATTTGTTCTCCAAATTTTTTTCCTGCCCCTTTGCCTGGTGGGTTACATCATCTTCATTTCCCTGCTTGAGCACAGAACTCAGTGACACTGCACTAATTTCTAATGCTATAAAAGGACCATCAAAATAATGCTGGACTTTTTGAAAAGTTCTGTTGCCCAAGAAGTCCCTTCTGAAAGAATTTCAACAACGACTCCAAAAAAAAAAAAAGACATTCAACTGTTTAATAGCAAGTAGAGGATCTAATATATGAACTTTTTCTGGCCTTCATAATGCTGCTTTTATGATGCATGATTTATGATCTTGAAGGCACCTGAGGGAAGGTCCAAGCCTAGATCCAAGGCACTGTTAGTCTCCTGTCTTCTCACAAAGGGCTACGGTGAGCACAGATGGGCATGGGACCTGTAGTGTCAGTCCAGAATCTTCTCACTGTGAAAAATACATTGGTTAAAAATATAAACCAGACAGTTTTTCATGTGAGGATGAACAACCACGAAGAAAGGCTTCTAAATGTCACTCTAGTAGTTTGTCATGTCAAGTAATTTCAAGTGTTCAGGAAACTTCAAAGTGAGAAGAGCAGCCTTCTCACAGCCTGAGGCGGCCTCTAGATCACAAAATGAAGCTGAAATGGGCTGGAAGATGGAAACTGATCTTCAGAGAGACATCACCCCAAACCTCACAGGTATTTCACTCAGGTTATTCTGCAGCACCACAACTCAGCCTGGCTCAAACACACGCAAACGAGAGACAAACAGAGGCTGCTCAAAGGTACAGACTTCTGTCTGTCTCACAAAAGTGCTTTTGCTGAGGTTTCCCTGCCCCACATTCAGAACATTTTCCACTTTAGACTAATTGCTTTTCTCTGAGTCTTGGGCACACTCTCCATCCTTCCACCCAAACTCAAGGAGAGGAGCTGTGCACAGGCAGTGGCTGCACTGCCCACTCCTCCGAGGAGCTGGCAAGCCCAGCAGGGGTGAGCAGATGCCACCCAGCTCCTGAGGTGGCTGTCACCTGCCCTGGGAGCCTGCAGGGACCTCCTCAGCACCACAGTGCCAAATAACAGCAGCTGGAGCAATCCCTTTGTGGAGCCAGGGGGATGGAGAGAGTTTGGCTGCCACAAACCAAAAAGTTTCCCAAGGATTTCCCAAGGAAATGTCTTCCCAAAGAAGGGCAGAAATGTGCCTGCCCTGAGGAAACTGAAAAGAAACCTGCCTGTTATTTACACAACAGCACAAATGGGAAAGCTGGCTTGGCTGGGTTTATTAGTGTGCTCACTAAAGGTGTGGAGAAACACAAACTCCACACACACTGCTCTGGCTGCTCTCCTGGCACTGCCAAAATACAGAGCCCAGAGAGAGGAGCCAAAGGCTCAGTTCCCACAGGGACAGCGACTTCTCTTGCTCTTCAGCTGCTGTGTGTGCAGGAAGGCCAGAGGAAGAGGAGCAGAGGATGCTGCAGGACATCTGTGGTTGCACAGAGGGTGAGCCGAGCCTGCTGGCAGGGTAAGCATCTGCCTGGGCAGCCCCAGCTGGCTGCAGTCCAAAGCAGGTCCAAACCTGCTCCCAGAATAAAAATCATGTGAAGCACAGAAAACCCCTCTGGAACCCCTCTTTGGGTCTCTCCCCAGAGGTGTCCCCAAGCTGCTGTGTGTACCTGCCCTGTACCCTCTGCCACTGCATCTCACACTGTGACTTCTGCAGCTGCTTTTGTAAACTCCTTTTGTAAACAGCTGAAACTATTTCTCCTGTAAAGGTGTGGGGGAAACAGAAGAAACCAAAACCCACCTAGTTTTTTAAAGTTATACAACATTAGACTATGGAGACCTTTAGGTGAAGGCTCCCGTGCTGCCTCTGAACACATAATTAAATGATTTTCTGTTGGCAAGAAAGCTATTTGCATTGGAAAATATGTTCCTAGGAACTGATTTCCACAAAATGGAACTATGTAATGAGCTTTCATGACTTCTGTAACCTCAGTGTTAGCTCGAAAACTCCAGAGAAATTGAGCTGACCTCTTGGATATGTCAGGTTCACACAAGCAAAATTCCATCTTTTTAACATCAGGCCAACACAGAGACTAAAGCAAGTGTTGGCACTGAAGCACACCTGAAAAGACTCAGAATAGTTGTATTCTTTTATCTGAGGCAGGCAGAATGACTGAAAGCAAGATCTGATCCCCCGCCGCACGGACGGCTCTCCAGCTACTGCCACAAACCTGGGAAGCAAAAAGGTGAAGCAGGTGGGCAGCAGCCAAGCAGCTGGTGTAGTTCAGGCCCTGCAAGGTGGTTCTGTGCTCCTGGAGTGGCACAATTTAATCAAAAAAATCAAAAGTTTTCCTTTCATATGTTTCATTTTTAAATATATATATAAAAAAAGAAATGCTGGCAGTACTCACTGCAGCATATGGCATGACAGAGGGCTCAGCAGAGCCAAATCCATGCTGGACCTGTGGATTTTGAATTCATTCTTTTTTAAATCACTGTCATTTCTGCCTCACCAAGAGGTCTTAGGAATGGCACTGCTTTGTCCAGCACCCATTGCTCCAAGGTGAGGGCTCATCCTGCCATGAATGAGCTCAGTAACCGAGTCAGACATGCTGTACATCTGTAAAGGGGCACCAGGATGGCATCCACATCATCTCATTTACACCACCTGACACATTTCACTGCAATAAAAACCCCTCACCCAGCATCTGGCAGCACTTTCACACCATGGCCAGTGTCCTTGGACACGCTGCCTGGACTGGAGGTCTCAGTGCTCACTCATTTAAAGCAAGAAAGGCAGCGCTGTGGGGAGGCAGGGCACACTTGCAGAGCTCATGACAAGCCTCAAAGCTTGCCCATCAGGCAGGTGTTTTGAAACAAAAACATCCTGCTGTTTATCTTCTCCTCACCCCTGCCTGGTGCTTCTGCAAGCTTCCATTAGCCAGGTTTTCAAGCCCCAGTTCTGGACTTCGATGCAGTGGCCAACTTCCTATGAGGTGAGGAGTGTCCAGAGGCACGAGAAATGAGATTTCCCGTGAGAAATCCCATCCAGACCTTGCAGTCTGCACCTTGGCACCCAGAGGTGCTGCCCAGGGCTGGTGAGCCATTACCCCTGTGGGAGATGTGAAAATCATTTGGTTTTCCCCCATTTACTGAAGCACAACAGCTTCAAGGACAGCTGAATTTCCACGTTAAACAAATCGGGGAAAACACATTTCTTTGTTCAAATTAAGGCTGTAGTCTACTAATTCCATTTTCATATCTCTGACGCCTGGAAAATCACACTTGTAAGTGAGAGACGTTGTTCCAGAGTTAATCTTCATTCCAACCAAGATGGAATTTACCCAGTTCAGTGAACAGGTGACGTCCAATTGTAGTTCTGGGAACTGCAAACCTCACGGATGCCCATGAACACCACATCAAATCACAATCCAAACCCACTGTTTTCCCCTTTGAAAAATGTAATTTCAAGTAAACCCATGAGACATTCCTGTGAAAGCCAACACAGAGAAAAGAGAAATGCTGCAGGTCATCTGGTCCTGTGAG